CGAAGAGCAGGTTTCAGGACAGGCTCGGAGGAGAAGCGGGCTGCCCCTCTCCTCCCACCTCTCCTGTCACCTTCTGCCATCTTTGACCGCTCTGTGGACACGATCGACACCCAGCATGGTGCTGAGCTGCACGTTCAAGAGGTCCCTGCATACCACGATACTGCTCTGCCTCCCAAACTACCCCAAAATACCCCAAACTACCCTGCCCAGCTGCCTTTGCCTCTGGGTCAGCATCTCCAAGAGGTCCCCTGGCGATGGACGTGGCCAAAGCACCACCTCAGCAGCAATGGAGGTTTGCACCTTTGGTTCCTCAAATGCAGGTGTAAATGGGATGATCCAGCATGGGGAATCAATAGGAAAACTCCCATCAGCAGCCACGGTGATAAGACTTGGACTTCCAGGACCATGCCTGGTCCCTGCTGCTAGCTGTACCCCAAACACGGTGGCCTGATAAAAGTCAATCCAGACACCTACATCTTGGTTCGTTCAGTGCACGCATGTCTACACAGCACCTATGATCTCTGGCTTGCACGTCCCATGCCACCAACAAGCGTGTTCACGGTTAACGCTGATCAAAAGATGGGGAAAAAAAAAAAAAAGCTTTGAAGGACAATTTTTCATTTTCTTTTCCAAACTAACTGCAATAAAAAAGGCGGAAGCCAAAAGAATTTTGAAATTCTGCCATTTTTGGAGCGCAAACGTAAGAAGAGTGTGAGCCCCGGGTTTCTCTTTCTTGCCTTGCCCTCACCTCCAGGTGCAACAAAACCTGGGGAAAACAGGGAAACGATGAATGGGTCTCGGGGGGAAGCACTGAAAGTGAATGAAGTGCTGCAAAATTAACACGAAAAACATTCTTGATTTTTCACCGCTAGAAAGTGCCCAAAGAAAAGAAAAATCTGTAAAGAAGATGCCTTTTCATTAAAAAGCCGTGGCAATCTGATCAGAGCATTTCAAGCAACAGCGGGCACAGCCCTCTCTGCACCCAGCAGAGCCTTCGCCTGCGGCTCTCGTAAAGGATATTTATGGGAGGAAATTTTCCTCCCCTCACCTCCCTCAAAAAAGCAGCCACCGGCTTAATAAACCGCTGGCAAAACAAAGCAGGGGAATTTCCATTAAGCAGAGTAAAAGGGTAATTAGCGACTGGGCTGAAAGGGCCTGCCTCGTCCTGCGTTGCAGCAGCCAGCCCAAGCCCCAGGTCTGCTGGCACCCCGCGAGGAAGCAAATTTGGGTCAAAACCCTGGTTTCCCAGAGGGAATTGCATTTCCTTCTCGTTACCTCCACCAAAGCCACAGGAGAAGGAGCAGGAGCAACTGCGGGTCTGGAGTGACCCCGGCAAAGGCACAGAAAAATCAGGGGTGGGAAACAGCGCTGGCAGATGAGGGTCAGAGGAAAGGAAAGATTTTGTAAAAGCAGTTGCATTTAACAAATGGTTTTGCCGTCAGAAAAAGGCAGCAGAGGGACGGCGTGGAGACGGTCCTGACAATCTCGAAGAGCAGTATTGCACGTCGGACGTGCTGCAGGTTGTTATTTTGCCACACAACATCATTTTTCTGAAAACTGACCTTTTGCCACACAACATCATTTTTCTGAAAATTGACCAAAAAAAAAAAAAAGAAAGGGGGAGAGTTTAAACTGTAGATTTCAGAATATGCCAAAAAAAAAAAAAAATCAGTCAAACCAAACTGAAAGTTGGGTAGATTTTTCTATTAAAAAATAAGAAATTATGCCTTTGCAGCTTGCTGGAGTTGCAGACGCAAAACCAGTCCACCCGTCGCTGCCCCATCTGTGGTTGTGGGTCAGGAGGGGGGGCCAGAAAAACCCTCTGTTGGGGGTCTTATCCTGCGGCTAAAGCAAACTCCACCTGGCATCTGCCACCAGGCAGCACCTTCCCATCCTTCACGCACGCTCCCAGCCCTTGAATTAGGTCTGTGCCTGCCACCGTGGGAGCAGCAAACCCGTCCTTGGGTGCCTGGACCCTTCCCTGGGGACCCGTCCCACCCACAGCTGGCTCTGCAGAGGGTCTCGCAGCCTTGGGGGAGGCACTGGGTGCCACCGGCTTCCTTGGTGCAACAAAGAGACATCGCTTGCCCAACATCACGCAGCTAATAAGAGGTAAAGTCAGGACCTGCACCCCAACTCTCCTACCCACGTTATTCCCTGACTGCACTTTTCTCCCAAGCGTTTTCTGCGCTAGGCGAGAAAAAGGGGGTTGGTTTTTTATTTGCAGAAGCGAAGGTTCCCTTTCCAAGACTCGTTTTGGTGTGGTTTTTGCAGACATGCTCCAGTTACTTTACTGATACAAGATGAAGCACAATTGTAAATTATTAAGACAAATCCACAAATGGCAGGCAAACAGAAAGCCAGTTAGGTTGTCAGTAGTATTTTCTGTCTGGAGTTGCTTTTTCCTTTCAACGACACTTGTTCACTTGGGCCAATGTTTTCAAACTCCACTGTCCAGTTCTTAATCGATACTGAAGCATCTCGGGACAAGATGCCAGCGTCCCAGGGAGTTGAGCATATGAACGTCCCACCTCTTGGCTGGGGGGGAACCCGAAAAGCCAGCTCGTTTGACATGCCTCGCTGCAAGGACTGCGGGGTGACCTTGCCTGAGAGCACCAGCCTGGATCTCATCAGTGCTTGGGATAGGTAGGCATGAGCAGGGCCAGCTGCAGGCGAGACCACAACAGGCTGGAGTCCCACACCCACGGCTTTGGCTGAGCACTGGCCAAAATCTTGATTTTTCCTTAGCCCGAAGCCTGAAAGCCTTGAACTGGGCAGAGGTTGCAGCATGCAACGCACACTCCTCAGCCGCAGGGAGGACTTGCATGGCACAAACCTAAAGCAGACAACCTAGCACGAGGGATGCAGCAAGGAGAGAGGTGCAGCTCCAGCTCCAGCTCTGAATCTCCAGGGACAGCCTGATGCTGGGACCCCAGTCTGAGCCCACCTTGGGACATGACCGCAGATATCTGGTGGCACTGATCAGTGGATCGTAAAGTCCTCGTGAACAGAAACACTGAGGTGCCACCAAGGAGATGAACAAAGAGCAGAAGCATTGACACCGGAATTATACATCTTGCTGTTATGGGCAGTGAAAGGCAAGGCAAGAGGCATACCTGAGAGGCAGATCTCTTACAGAAAGCTCAGGCTTTTCTAGCCCGAGGCACCATGCAGCACCCACGGCCTTTAAAACAGGGAGGAAGGAAATGCCAGCGCACGTTAAATACACCAAAGGGAAAAGGAGACCATGAAAAGCTCCACCAAATGCCTCTGACGACGCTTTCAGCTGCTCCTGAGCAATCAGGGTCACCTACAGATCTGTGCATCACACACGCACACGTCAGCCCTGGCAGGTCTCTGCCTCAAAGAGGACACATCTGCCGGCAAAGAAACCCAAGGGCCGTAGAAATGCGAAGCACCAGCAGGGCCAGCGTCACCCGCGTGGCCAGACACCTTCCAGCTCTGCTTCAGGAAGGAGGAACAGCAACCCCGGTGGATTGCCCAGCCCGGCCCATCTACAAGGGACAGCTGAGACCCCTCAAACTCATGGCACGTAGAAGCTTGCTTTCTGCAACAGCATCAACACATTCCTCCTTCACTGACCCTGCTAAAGCATGTCCAGTTCCCACCACCATGGGATATTCTGCCATCACAGTCCCCACCGTGACCCTCTGCAGAGTAACTGGAGCTGCTGAAAGCAGCAAGTGGGTTTGGAAGCAGCAAAGCATCCTGCAAACAGAGCGCAAAACTGGGGAAAGGACACCTGGCCGTGTGGTTGTGGTGAGGACGACTGAGCCTCAGGGAACCTTGGCCCAGGCAGCCAAGAAGGCCAATGGCATCCTGGCCTGTATCAGAAATAGTGTGGCCAGCAGGAGTAGGGAAGCGATCGTGCCCCTGTACTCGGCCCTGGTGAGGCCGCACCTCGAACGCTGTGTTCAGTTTTGGGCCCCTCACTCCAAGAAGGACGTCGAGGTGCTGGAGCGTGTCCAGAGAAGGGCAACGAGGCTGGTGAGGGGTCTGGAGAAGAAGTCTTCTGAGGAGCGGCTGAGGGAACTGGGGTTGTTTAGCCTGGAGAAAAGGAGGCTGAGGGGAGACCTCATCGCTCTCTACAACTACCTGAAAGGAGGTTGTAGCGAGGTAGGTGTCGGTCTCTTCTCCCAAGTAACAAGTGATAGGACGAGAGGAAATGGCCTCAAGTTGCGGTAGGGGAG